TCCACACTGTTTAGTTACTTCCACACTGTTTAGTCACTTCCACACTGTTTAGTTACTTCCACACTGTTTAGTTACTTCCACACTATTCACTCACTGCCACACTGTTTAGTCACTTCCACACTGTTTAGTTACTTCCACACTGTTCACTCACTTCCACACTGTTCACTCACTTCCACACTGTTCACTCACTTCCACACTGTTCACTCACTTCCACACTGTTTAGTCACTTCCACACTGTTCACTCACTGCCACATTGTTTAGTTACTTCCACACTGTTTAGTCACTTCCACACTGTTTAGTCACTTCCACACTGTTCACTCACTTCCACACTGTTCACTCACTTCCACACTGTTCACTCACTTCCACATTGTTTAGTTACTTCCACACTGTTTAGTTACTTCCACACTGTTCACTCACTTCCACACTGTTTAGTCACTTCCACACTGTTTAGTCACTTCCACACTGTCTACTCACTGCCACACTGTTTACTCACTGTTACACTGTTCACTCACTTCCACACTGTTCACTCACTGCCACACTGTTTAGTTACTTCCACACTGTTTAGTCACTTCCACACTGTTCACTCACTTCCACACTGTTCACTCACTGCCACATTGTTTAGTTACTTCCACACTGTTTAGTTACTTCCACACTGTTCACTCACTTCCACACTGTTTAGTCACTTCCACACTGTTTAGTCACTTCCACACTGTTCACTCACTGCCACATTGTTTAGTTACTTCCACACTGTTCACTCACTTCCACACTGTTTAGTCACTTCCACACTGTTCACTCACTGCCACATTGTTTAGTTACTTCCACACTGTTCACTCACTTCCACACTGTTTAGTCACTTCCACACTGTTTAGTCACTTCCACACTGTTCACTAACTGCGACATTGTTTAGTTACTTCCACACTGTTCACTCACTTCCACACTGTTTAGTCACTTCCACACTGTTCACTTACTTCCACACTTCCACACTGTTCACTCACTTCCACACTGTTTAGTCACTTCCACACTGTTTAGTCACTTCCACACTGTTTAGTCACTTCCACACTGTTTAGTCACTTCCACACTGTTCACTCACTTCCACACTGTTCACTCACTTCCACACTGTTTAGTCACTTCCACACTGTTCACTCACTTCCACACTGTTCACTCACTTCCACACTGTTCACTCACTTCCACACTGTTTAGTCACTTCCACACTGTTTAGTCACTTCCACACTGTTTAGTCACTTCCACACTGTTTAGTCACTTACACACTGTTTAGTCATTTCCACACTGTTTAGTCACTTTCACACTGTTCACTCACTTCCACACTGTTCACTCACTTCCACACTGTTCACTCACTTCCACACTGTTCACTCACTTCTACACTGTTCACTCACTTCCACACTGTTCACTCACTTCCACACTGTTTAGTCACTTCCACACTGTTCACTCACTTCCACACTGTTTAGTCACTTCCACACTGTTCCCTCACTTCCACGCTGTTTGGTCACTTCCACACTGTTTAGTCACTTCCACACTGTTCACTCACTTCCACACTGTTTAGTTACTTCCACACTGTTTAGTCACTTCCACACTGTTTACTCACTTCCACGCTGTTTAGTTACTTCCACACTGTTCACTCACTTCCACACTGTTTAGTTACTTCCACACTGTTCACTCACTTCCACATTGTTTAGTCACTGCCACACTGTTCACTTACTGCCACACTGTTTAGTTACTTCCACACTGTTCACTCACTTCCACACTGTTTAGTCACTGTTTAGTCACTGCCACACTGTTCACTCACTTCTACACTGTTCACTCACTTCCACACTGTTTGGTTACTGTTTAGTCACTGCCACACTTTTCACTCACTTCCACACTGTTTAGTTACTGTTTAGTCACTGCCACACTGTTCACTCACTCCCACACTGTTTAGTTACTGTTTAGTCACTGCCACACTGTTCACTCACTTCCACACTGTTTAGTTACTTCCACACTGTTTAGTTACTGTTTAGTCACTGCCACACTGTTTACTCACTTTCACACTGTTTAGTTACTTCCAAACTGTTTAGTTACTTCCACACTGTTTAGTTACTTCCCCACTGTTTAGTTACTTCCACACTGTCTAGTTACTTCCACACTGTTTAGTTACTTCTACACTGTTTAGTCACTGCCACACTGTTCACTCACGTCCATACTGTTTAGTCACTGCCACACTGTTTAGTCACTGCCACATTGTTCACTCACGTCCACCCTGTTTAGTCACTGCCACACTGTGTAGTCACTGCCACACTGTTCACTCACGTCCACACTGTTTAGTTACTTCCACACTGTTTAGTCACTGCCACACTGTTCACTCACTGCCACACTGTTTAGTTACTTCCACACTGTTCACTCACTTCCACACTGTTTAGTTACTTCCACACTGTTTAGTCACTTCCACACTGTTTAGTTACTTCCACACTGTTCACTCACTTCCACACTGTTTAGTTACTTCCACACTGTTTAGTCACTTCCACACTGTTTAGTTACTTCCACACTGTTTAGTTACTTCCACACTATTCACTCACTGCCACACTGTTTAGTCACTTCCACACTGTTTAGTTACTTCCACACTGTTCACTCACTTCCACACTGTTTAGTTACTTCCACACTGTTTAGTCACTTCCACACTGTTTAGTTACTTCCACACTGTTTAGTTACTTCCACACTATTCACTCACTGCCACACTGTTTAGTCACTTCCACACTGTTTAGTTACTTCCACACTGTTCACTCACTTCCACACTGTTCACTCACTTCCACACTGTTCACTCACTTCCACACTGTTCACTCACTTCCACACTGTTTTAGTCACTTCCACACTGTTCACTCACTGCCACATTGTTTAGTTACTTCCACACTGTTTAGTCACTTCCACACTGTTTAGTCACTTCCACACTGTTCACTCACTTCCACACTGTTCACTCACTTCCACACTGTTCACTCACTTCCACATTGTTTAGTTACTTCCACACTGTTTAGTTACTTTCAACACTGTTCACTCACTTCCACACTGTTTAGTCACTTCCACACTGTTTAGTCACTTCCACACTGTCTACTCACTGCCACACTGTTTACTCACTGTTACACTGTTCACTCACTTCCACACTGTTCACTCACTGCCACACTGTTTAGTTACTTCCACACTGTTTAGTCACTTCCACACTGTTCACTCACTTCCACACTGTTCACTCACTGCCACATTGTTTAGTTACTTCCACACTGTTTAGTTACTTCCACACTGTTCACTCACTTCCACACTGTTTAGTCACTTCCACACTGTTTAGTCACTTCCACACTGTTCACTCACTGCCACATTGTTTAGTTACTTCCACACTGTTCACTCACTTCCACACTGTTTAGTCACTTCCACACTGTTCACTCACTGCCACATTGTTTAGTTACTTCCACACTGTTCACTCACTTCCACACTGTTTAGTCACTTCCACACTGTTTAGTCACTTCCACACTGTTCACTAACTGCGACATTGTTTAGTTACTTCCACACTGTTCACTCACTTCCACACTGTTTAGTCACTTCCACACTGTTCACTTACTTCCACACTTCCACACTGTTCACTCACTTCCACACTGTTTAGTCACTTCCACACTGTTTAGTCACTTCCACACTGTTTAGTCACTTCCACACTGTTTAGTCACTTCCACACTGTTCACTCACTTCCACACTGTTCACTCACTTCCACACTGTTTAGTCACTTCCACACTGTTCACTCACTTCCACACTGTTCACTCACTTCCACACTGTTCACTCACTTCCACACTGTTTAGTCACTTCCACACTGTTTAGTCACTTCCACACTGTTTAGTCACTTCCACACTGTTTAGTCACTTACACACTGTTTAGTCATTTCCACACTGTTTAGTCACTTTCACACTGTTCACTCACTTCCACACTGTTCACTCACTTCCACACTGTTCACTCACTTCCACACTGTTCACTCACTTCTACACTGTTCACTCACTTCCACACTGTTCACTCACTTCCACACTGTTTAGTCACTTCCACACTGTTCACTCACTTCCACACTGTTTAGTCACTTCCACACTGTTCCCTCACTTCCACGCTGTTTGGTCACTTCCACACTGTTTAGTCACTTCCACACTGTTCACTCACTTCCACACTGTTTAGTTACTTCCACACTGTTTAGTCACTTCCACACTGTTTACTCACTTCCACGCTGTTTAGTTACTTCCACACTGTTCACTCACTTCCACACTGTTTAGTTACTTCCACACTGTTTACTCACTTCCACACTGTTTAGTCACTTCCACACTGTTTAGTCACTTCCACACTGTTTACTCACTTCCACACTGTTTGGTCATTTCCACACTGTTTAGTCACTTCCACACTGTTTAGTCACTTCCACACTGTTCACTCACTTCCACACTGTTTAGTTACTTCCACACTGTTTAGTCACTTCCACACTGTTCACTCACTTCCACACTGTTCACTCACTTCCACACTGTTCACTCACTTCCACACTGTTTAGTCACTTCCACACTGTTTAGTCACTTCCACACTGTTCACTCACTTCCACACTGTTCACTCACTTCCACACTGTTCACTCACTTCCACACTGTTTAGTCACTTCCACACTGTTCACTCACTTCCACACTGTTCACTCACTTCCACACTGTTCACTCATTTCCACACTGTTCACTCTCTTCCAAAAGGCCCTAACGACATCTAATGCTATATAAAATGAAAATGTAAATAAATATGTTATACCTTTCTGCAAGGTGCAGCTCAACTCACATATACATAAAGGTGTTCTAACTTGATATGAGGTGACACAAATGCAGATTTTGATCTGGGAGTAATCCTAATGTGAGATGAAGTAAACAAACTCAGATGGGTATTGCTTAATCTTAGAGGAAGTTATGCTAAAATATGGATGCATGCTTTCAGCAGTTGTAGCTGTTTTCATATTTTCACAGGTTTGGGATTTCAATGGACATTGTTACCATAACCTTGAGTGTGCAGGAGGTCAGCCAGCTGATGTTGGACAAATACTGGTGCTAAAGAGATCTGTTGTGGTGGTGGGATGGGCCAGGTAAAACTGAAGAGAGAAGTGTTAGATACGAGAGAAAGAAAGAGGGAGGTATGAAATGTTAAACTGAGAAATATGATGTCATTCATGTCTGAGGAGCAGCTAAGCCAGGAGAATTGCAGCCTATAAAACAAACTGATGTCACTGACTTGAGCTGCAAGAGCTAAAACCTGATAATGAACAGATATTTACTCTCAACAGTGAAGACAAGTAGCTTTTTGTTTTCTTGTTGTCCATGTCATGTAGCATAGATCATCCTATCTGTGCACATAATTTTCTCTTACATATTGTCAGTAGAGCTGTACTGAATATTCGCTTCAGGGCCGAATAGTGGACCTAATAACTATTCTGTATTCAGCTGAATACTTGCGGTCAGGCCGAATACTTGCGGTCGGGCCGAATACGAATAGTGGTTACCTCACAACCGCTTCTGCATGCACGGCCTTATTGCTGACAACATGGAACAATTGGTTTTGTTGAAAGCTAATGCAGCTTTCATGCATTAACTAAGCTGTCAGTGACAATTTCTAAGTTTACTTACTTGTTATAATACTTAGGATCCTTTCCTTCCTAGTTATTAGTTATCACAGACTGACTGAATGATGCAAAAAATAAAATGTTTTTAAATGTTTACTGTTCTGTACAAACACTAACTAGACATGGAAAGAATATAAACTTCGGCCACATCTAAGTCGAAAATATGAAAATCAAATGAACAGAAACCTATAAGTGCTTGGGAGCAAACTTCAACTGCTCCAACATGCAGAGAGAATAAATACAATCTAGAATACAATCTGGAAATAAAGTATACTATGCCCTTCAACATCTGTTAAAGTCAAAGTCTCTGTCTCGCAACATCAAGATCAAAATATATAAAACGTTGATAAGACCAGTCGTTTTATATTGCTCTGAAACCTGAAGCACAAATAAAAAAGATGAAGCCTTATTACAGGTTTTATAAAACAAACTTACGACAAATCTTTGGACCCATCAAAGATGCAAACAGCACAGAATGGAGAGAGAGAAGCAACAAAGAAATTCATAATCTGTTTAAATCACCATTGATGACTGGCATCATGAGAGCTAATAGACTGAAATGGTTGGGGCATATTGAAAGAATGTCAGATGACAGAGAAGTTAAAACTGTATACACCGCAGAGATGAATGGTCGTAGACCCCGAGGCAGACCAAGAAGAAGTTGGAGAGATAATGCCCAGACAGATCTGCAAACAATTGGTGTCGCCAAATGGGAAGAGAAGGCCAACCAGAGATAGATGGAGACGAGTGATTAGTGATTAAAGATTAGAAAGGATTTTCATCACAGCACTCCGGACAAATCCATAGGTGCTTCAATCTCCTCCTCAAAAGCTCCACAAGTGTAAAACGACTGATGACAACTGTTCTGTGTTGGTTAGTTAAACATCTTGACCCCTTAGTGAAATGTTCATTTCTTGCTGCTCTGGGCTGTACCCCATGTCCATCAGTCTAGACAGGGATACGGGGTCATGTCCTTTAGCGTGCTCTTTGGACGGTAAGTGCAGCGCATGGCATTGATAACATCACTTCTGTCCAGTACTGGGCCAGCCATAGCAACTGTAGTGTCAGCAGGATAGTCTGCACGCTCGTTCCCTTGAACACCCGTGTGACCTGGCACAAAGATGAAGGTTAGGACATATATTCGTGAAGTGCTTAGCGTTGCAGTCCATTCTTGCCTGATAAATCCAGCTTGGATCTTTTAAAGTATCTGATATAAGACGAGTGATATCTGTGGCAATGAACCTCAATGGCTCGGAATGCTGAAGAAGAAGAAGAAAAAGAAATAGAAGAAGACTATTCTGTACTACATTATGTGAAATAAAAGTTCAGGATACATTTGACATTATTAATGTTTTTTTAGATATATTTTATACACTATACACTATTTGTATTTGTGTTCGTCTGAATAGTTGGACTGTTATTCATTTTCCGCCGAATAGTGAAAATCACCTATTCAGTACAGCTATGATTGTCAGTAATTTCTGATACAGACACCATTCAATGCAGTGATGCCAAACTGTCCAGTATCCTGTCAAAAACTAAAACACCAAACTCAAAAATGTGCCTTGCTTTCATTCTCCATTGTTCTTAGGTCTGGCAGCTAGTGGTAGATTTAGAAGTCTTTGACAGCTGTTCTGGTAATATTCTCTCAGGTAATACTGATTGAACTTATTATCCCATCTATAGAACACAGAAGTACACTCACCTGGTCACCAGTCAAATGAACAAACAAATAAATGAACAAACTTTATTTTTAAAGGGTCACAAATTGGGCACGCAGGCCTGTCTTACATTCGGCCCTTTCAAACACCTGTCTTTCACACTGCAGTTGTATTTTATCAATAAGCATGTTATATTCAAATGATATTCAAATAATATATCATATCAAGGGGGGAAAAACACAAAAGCGGGGGTGGTAAAAAGCATGCACACACTAGCGCTTACACATGCACGCATGCACACACACACACACACACACACCCATCCACTTGCTTAAACACGCAAATATACACATCCACATACCTGAACACACACACACACACATAAACACACCCCCATTCATCTAGTCTGAGTTGTGAAGAGGATGCACAATAAAACTCTTCTCTATTGGTGTAGGTGAAAGTAGCGTTGTGTCCAACTGTGTTTACAATACATGGGTTGGGAACATGAGGTTAAAATGTGACTGTATAGCATGCAAGACTGGTTTTCAGCTATTTCTTCAAAAGTTTTTTTTTTTTTTTTTCTAAACAATTAAGTGTCCTGTCTTTAGATATGGCCAGAATATTATGTTACACTTGTGACTTGTTCTTGGCTTCTCTTCACATCAGTTTGACACACCGATATCTAATCTTAGTTTGAAAGCAGACATGTAAGTAGATAATTAGTAGCTAAGTTAATTGTGTGTTCTGTTCTCTTGTCTCTCAGGTGTATCACAGTCTTCAGAAACAGTGCATTTAAGGAATTTCATGTGAAGCCTTCAGAATGGAAAGGAGGACAGGTCTGCCCACCCTACTTGTTTGGCAGATGTTTGAGTGAGAGGGAGAGAGTTTGCCTCATACTGGTGTCTGTATATGATTGTTAAGTTAATAATGTTTAACTAGTGACTGATCATATTGCAAGAAATAGCCCTATAGTTACTAATATTATGGTTTCAATCTTACTCTAGGAACATGCTGAAGACATTTTGTCATGTGCTTTTATGAGTCCTCACACTCTTGCAACGGGCTCATATGATGGTGAAATCGTCATATGGAACACAAATTCTGAGCATGCGTCACGTCACTGTGCACATAGATCTCGTCGCAATTTGAAATCTAGGGGACAAAACTTCACACCTTCAATAGTGAAGGAGGTATTTATTTTAGTATTTCAGTATTTTTTATTTTTTTATCTAAATCATTTTTTAAAATAGTTGTGTTATACTTCCTTGAATTAATTATTTCTTCAGTGTCTTGGCATCCATTTGAATAGTGCTTACAGGTAAATTAATGTTTAAATACATTTTTATATTTATCTATTTGGGAAGTAGTTCTAATGTTTAATTTTACTTTTAATTAAATTATTGTTTTGCTAATGGATGAGACATCTGCTAAAATCAGATCCTCAAGATTACAATATATAAAACACTAATAAGTCCTTGTCTCTGAAACCTGAAGTACAACTGAAAGATATGAAGCCCTGTTACACACATGACAAATCTTTGGACCATCAGAGATGGAGAGTGAGAAGCAGTAATAAAACTCATAATCTTTAAATCATCACTAATAGACTGTAGTAGTGTCTCAGTCTAATATAGTCTCTCACTAATATATCTCTCAGTCAGTTCTTCTGGTTTTACTAACATCTGTCGAATGCCTGAGACTGTTGCACCCATGTTCCTGAGGACCGATTTTGTCTGCCTGTGGATTTGCCTTTTGTGCAGTTTCAGATTACTGTGGTCATGTGCTGCCATGTTGGCATTCTGAATGGGTGCCCACACAGTAAGTTTCCCCCATCTCGAAACTGTATACAAGTATGACAACTTTCATTTTCACCATATTCTTCAACACAATTAGCCTCAGCTGGCTCGGTTTACAATTCGTCGTCTGAAGTTTTATATGCCACGTGGGCCTCTTTAAACAGTTTCTTAAATTTACATGGTGAATCACTAGATTATAACAGTTACAATAAAAAGCATTTTACTGCTGTGTAATATTTACTCAACTTGTTCCTTCTTCTGTCAATCAACTTTTCAATTCTCTTATCATAGTCTGGGTGTTTGTCACAAATAGTATCATATCTATGTTTTTTATAACAATATTTACAATCAGTACTCACTGTATGTTTCCTAAAGTAGTTGTCATCTTTAACTTGATGTTTTGATTTGTGTTGTTTGGAGTAGGCTGCTGTTCCCACTTTGATGATCTCAGAATCGGAGGTAATAAAAATATCTGGATGCGCCGCATAGTAATTTTCTGCTATCTGTTCAAGGTGGTTTAAACGTGAAGGCTTATTTACCTAAAAAATGTAGACATTGGTTCTAGAAGAGACTAACATCTTACTTCTCTAAAGTAAGTCGACAAGTAATTTGTAATCGTTCTTGACATTTGCCGCATCGATCCCCTTTTGAAAGGTATTCTGTACTTTCAACAAGTAATAAGTAAATGTTTGATTATTTTTGGGTTTTAAATCATTGAACTTTTTCCAATACCTTGTTTAGTGAAGATTAAAAGGCTTCATAATTCTTTTCCTAATATAATCATTATCTTTTCTGTTCAGGTACTGATTCTAAACATTTTAACGGCTCAAATGCCAAATGTTTCTGAAAGATTAATGCATAGTCTTCATAAGCTACCTCATGTGGAGTTGAAATTTTACTATCCAGTATCCGATGTCATCGTTCTCGCAATAGTTTCTAAAAATACCATAGTATTTTTAATACTTATTTCCCATGAATTACTTTTTTATTTCCCAATGGATTCTTCTTTTCTTGAATTAATCACCATCTTATTTATTCTTTTCTGTGTTTTTGCTTTCTCCATCTCTGTCTGGAATTGTGCCATGTTCTAACTGGAACTACTCTTCCCTCAGCGTTATTTTCTGTTTCAACTGTTTCTGTATTATTTTTATTTCCTGTTGCAATTGCTTATTTCTCAACTCTGCTTCTTTTTTGGCCTCGTCCCTCTCTCTTTCCTCTACTTATTCCATGTTTAACTTCTCTCTTTTTCGCCATTTAAATTGTTTCCTATTCTTGTTCTTCAGCCAATTTAACTCTTTAAGGCCCAAACAACGGTGTGAGCGTAGTTTGAGAAGTTCCGTTCTGCCCAAACAACAGTGTCATCGTCAAATCGTGTGTCCCCTACATTTTGCTTCGCACGCGCGTTCGTACTAGTTTCTAATTTTTGGAGGTAAGAATAAACTATTCAGGGAAAATCACTCTACCGAAATCCTTTTAGTTTCATTTCTTGGACTAAACCACACGTGGATAATTTGAGAAAGAAAAACATCGACATTTTTTCAACAGTTCATTTTCTAAGTTCGTTTTTGAGTGCCATGAATACCAATGTTCTAACCACAAGAACAGGTCGCAGAATGCGTCTTTCTGCGGCCGAAGTTCTAAAATTGTTTTAGTCAGATGTTTTTAATTGTGATAATGATAATAAAAATTTTGATTTTTAGAAAAGTGATTCGGACAGTGAATTTTCACCAGTGAAGCTGAGCGATCAGCTGTTCCGAATCTAGTGATTCTGATGAGTTTTTTACACAGACAATGTCCCATACTACCGTATTTATGGTGTAAGAGAAGGAAAGTGCTCTAAACAAAGAGACATTACTATACTATGGCTAAGCTACATTGAAATCATCGCAGCTACAGTCTGTAAATAACTGTACAAAGTGAATAGTAAATAGTGTGTGTGTAATGGCTCATTTTTCTGCCATTTTTTTATCTGAAATTTTGCTTAGCACTCGGTGAGAACTAAGAGCCCCTGAGTGATAAACTAACCCAGAAAGTTATCATAACTTTAGAATATGTTAGGAAATTGAACAAACTTTGAAGTTGTGTTCTCAAATTTGGATATTTACTGCTATTGTGGCTGCAAAACCATAGTAAGTAAAGAATTTTTTGGTGAAATGTTGTCCTTGTGAAATTAACACCTGCTGAATACTTCTTTTCCACTAACTATAACAAAATTAAACAAACACCTATCAACAGATTCAAAATGTACATTCATTTCTCTTTTTAAAAAATATATACTTTTATAGGGATTAGAAGTGTATTACAATCTCTACAGCCTTTCTTGTGCACCCACCCCTCTGCCATTTTTGTAAAGGGAAATTAATGTGGGCCAAGTCTGTCAATATTTATGGGCCTGAAAGAGTTAATCTTTTCCCCTTCTTGTTCTTCGTCCATCATCTCCTTCTGTTTTTGGTCTCTGTATTTTTGCAGTACTTCACCTTGTAGGCCAAACTCTTTCCTGATGGAAACGCATTGTGCCACAAAAGACATTATAAAAATGGGTACAATGTATATTAGTCAAATAACAAAACAAAACAATTACACAGTATATAACCTGACACCCTTTTTCACTTTAGGTTAGTACCAATTTGTAACAATCAACTTAAAATCATTGAGAGGTGATTAGTAAGTTAAACCAAGTTTTACTCTATATCAACTTGGGAACACTATAGTAAACTATAAATCTCCCTATCCACTTCATAAATATGTTAAACGTTGAATTAGGAATCAACATCACAGCACTAGGGACACTCCCATAAGTTATCCGTCCCCATCTTCAGCAGCAAGCAAAGAGTACCAATTCCGATTGGCACCAGTAACCGTCTGATTATATTTCTGTCTATCCTTCCCCTGAGTATTGAGCATCAGCCAGATCCCCTAGTAACTCCTTGCAGCTGTAATGCTGCCATTTGTGCTTACAATATCTGTGAAGGTTTCCATGCAGGAGTGGAAACATGTGCTGTGTGTCTAGACTTGGAAGATGCATACAACACGGTGCCCTTCTGAAAAGCTCATACACCAGCTCCTAAACATCAACATTTCCCAATACTCATTAACTGGATAGCAGTAGCTTTCTTTAAGAGACAGGTTGTTTTCAAATGTGGAAGATGGATCTCCGAGTTGAAAAACTATACACCCAGGATTGCCTCAGATATCACCTTTATTTTGTCCTCTTCAATATTTTCACTATTGAGGCAACAAAATATAAAATCCCAGGTGAAGAAAGAACACTCTTGTATGCTGATGACATACTAGTGTACCACCAAGGCAAGAACAGAAACATAACTCTAAAAGGAACTGGGGCGTATACCAGATTAGTGTCAAACCTCCAGAGCACCAGTTAACCCTGAAAAAAGTGACTGCAACTTTTTACTTTCTTTGAACAATCACATGTTACACTCTGTGCATATGAATGTTGAAGAGATAGAAAGGGCTTAACTTGTAAGATACCTGGGAGTGAGTTTTCATCGAAGCCTTAGCTGCAGATTCTATGATCAACAAGGCCAGAAAGGGTTTGGCTGCAATGAGCGTTATGGCTGCAGTGTGTGGTCAAAAAAGACTGTTAGTCATCCTCTATCATGGTTTGATCCTTTCTTTCACAGAATATGCACTGGCAATCCTCACCCTCAGCAAGACACAAATTGACAGACCAGAAAAGTTACAAAATGAAGTAATGCGCATCATACATGGCTGCACCAAAGACACATCATGTAGAGCAGTGAGATACCTGCTATATATTTCACAAATAAACAGTAGGCTTGAAATGCGCCAAGTGTATGCCTACCTCAAAATCACTGAGGTCTTTACACACCTACTGCACAATGAACTGTATACACATAAAGGCAACAGACTGAAAACAAGGCCAGTCTTGGTTGGACCGTCCAGAGACTGTACTTCAGTAAGTGATTTTCCTTGAAGACATAAACCGTGGCAAGAAATTCATACCCATACCAAATGTGTCCACCTTCCACCACACATGTCTACGTAGAATTATCAAAATTTTCTGGCCAGATACAATCTCAAACACTAAACTACTTCAAATCACAAACCAAGAAACTCTAGACAGTATGATAACCAAGAGAATATGGAAGTGGCTTAGCCACGTTATGAGAATGAATCCTGATATACCTGCCAAAACAGCTCTCACATGGATACCAGAGGGAAAGAGAAAAAAGGAATGCCCAAAAACAACATGGAGACAAACGATGGAAAGTGACCTGAGTGTGGCATCTTTCACATGGAAAACTGCGTTGAAGATTGCACAGGACAGGAAATCATGGAAAGTCCTCTCTGAAGCCTCATTGCCACTAGGCATAACGAGAACTGATGATGATGATACCAAATGAATACAAGCA